TAAGGTCTTGTCAGCAATTAAAAGCTAAGTACACATGTTTATAACATGTTCTAATTAACTTTGACCAATGATATAAGATGGATGCTGTACTGAAGAGCATTTGGCATCACAGTCTCTGGGTTGAGAGGGATGGCTATTATTTATAGTGGAAACTTTGCCAATTTGTTAGATAACAATATGGTGAAGTAGATTTCTTTAAAGAGGGTTTATAAGTGTGTGAAACTATGTTTCTAAGCAGATGGTGTAGAACAACATCCTGAACTTATCTATTTAGCCTCAGGATGATGAAAAGTAGGTGTGATTAAGGCGGGAGAGCTGCTAGGAGGTGGGTTCAGAACACTGGTATCTGGGTGCCATATTCTTGGAGCAGGAAGGCAGTGACATCTCTTCTCTGCAGGAGGCAAGGTGTCCCCCTACAGGCTCCATGTACAACTTTAATCTTAAAACAGTTTTGAGACCCTTTGCAGGGATGGGAAGGGGAAAAAAATGAGGAGGCAACAATGCTTGATAAGAAATGTACTCATTACCTTGCTCATGTAATTGTAACCCCTATGAATGGTATTTTCACAATAAAATAGAGAAAAAAAAGAAAAAAAGACTTCTCAAAATTTTGTGAACAAATCCACATCCCATGATAAATCCATTGGCACTGAGTGCACTTGACATCTGTAACTAACAGTGATGAATTCACACTGAGAGTATCAGCCTGCTTTTCTTCTAATTATAATACTTTCCCAGCACATTGGTTTCAAGAAGTTAATACTATCAACCTTGTAAATTGTCAGGATTCAATGGCCAATAGACATAAAAGAAATGCAAATCAAAACAACATTGAGGTTCCACCTCACCACAGTTAGAATGGCTATAACCAAAAACTCTAATAACAATAGATGTTGGAGGGGATGTGGACAGAAGGGAACCCTACTGCATTGGTGGTGGGAGTGTAAACTTGTTCAACCACTTTGGAAAGTAGTATGGAGGTTCCTCAAAAGACTCCACATAGAGCTCCCCTATGACCCAGCAATCCCACTTTTGGGCATTTACCTAATGATCAGAAGCAAGATCATACTAAAGTTACCAGTACAACTATGTTTATTGCAGCATTATTTACCATAGCTAAGATTTGGAACCAATCCAGATGCCCCTCAGTAGATGAATGGATCAAGAAAATGCGATATATATACACAATGGAATTCTATGCCTCCATGAGAAAGAATGGCATCGCCCATTTTTTAGGAAATGGAAATATTCGGAAAAAAAAATATATTAAGTGAAGTAAGCCATGCCCAAAGAAACATAGGTCCCATGCTTTCTCTTATTTGCAATAACTAGTATATGTCTGAGACAAGCAGAAATGGTCAGATAAGTTTATGTTAGGTGAAATGAACCCCACAATAAGGACTCAAATGTTTTTTTTCTTTCTTGCTATTGTTTCTAACATATTTATAAGATTATTTCTTTGGGGCTGAGATGGTGGCTTAGTGGTAGAGTGCTTGCTTTGCGTGCATGAGGCGCTGGGTTTGATTCCTCAGCACCACATAAGTAGAAAAAAAAGCTGGAAGTGGCACTGTTGCTCAAGTGGTAGAGTGCTAGCCTTGAGCTGAAGAGCTGAGGGACAGTGCCCAGGCCCAGAGTTCAGGCCCCTTGATTGGACCAAGAAAAAAAAAAGATTATTTCTTTGTTGGTTTGTATGTCCCTCCGCCATGGTATAACCCCTGTTTTCACTGTATTTGATGGTATTATAACTTGTGGAGGGGAAAGGATAAAACAAATTGTTTAAATATGGATACAGATAAACCCATTGCAACAATGAGATTTACAAGACATTATGTTGAAAATGGAACTTTACAACTTGGACATAGGGTGGGGTTGGGGGGTGGTGACTGGGGTGGTGGAGGAGATGGGAAGGGATGGTAGGGGAAACAAAGCAGGAGGTAACAATGCTTGATAAGAAATGTACTCATTACCTTGACCATGTAATTGTAACCCCTCTGTATGATATTTTTACAATTAAAAAAGAAAAAAAAAAACTAGCTCACAGGGAAACACTGGTTCTCCCCATCTGCACCATGGCATGCAGAATAGTGATAGATTTTCCTTTACCACTTAAGCCCTCTACATGCCATGGGACCTATGTTTCTTTAGGCCTGGCTTACTTCACTTAATATAATTTTTTCCAAGCCTTTCAATTTCCTAGGAAATGGGGCAATGTCATTCTTTCTGATGGAGGCATAGAATTTCATTGTATATATGTACCAGATTTTCTTGATTCATTCATCTACTGAGGGGCATCAGGATTGGTTCCATATCCTAGCTATGGTAAATAATGCTGTGATAAACATGGTTGTTGTGGTAGCTTTGGTATGATCTTGTTTGTGTAAATGCTCAAAAGTGGGATTGCTGGGTCATAGGGGAGCTCTATGTGAAGTCTTTTGAGGAACCTCCATACTGCTTTCCAAAGTGGTTGAACAAGTTTACACTCCTACCAACAGTAGGGTTCCCTTCTGTTCACATCCCCTCCAGCATTTGTTGTTACTGGATTTCTAGATTATAGCTATTCTAACTGGGGTGGGGTGGAATCTCAACATTCTCTTCAATGATATTGAAAGCAAAAATTCACTATCACACTCTTTTACATGAAGCCAGCATAACCCTCATACAAACCAGGCAGGGACTCATCAAAGAAAGAGAACTATAAACCCATTTCTTTGATGAATATTGACGCAAAACTTCTCAACAAAATCTTGGCCTAAGGACTTCAACAACTCATCAAAAAAATCATACACCATAATCAAATAGGAATCATTTCAGGGATGCAAAGATGGTTCAATATATGCAAATCAAGTTATAAAATTCAACACGAGTAAGGATAAGAACCACACAATTATCTCAATAGATGCAGAGAAAGCATTTGACAAGATCCAACACCCCTTTATGATGAAAGCTCTGGAAAAACTAGGAATCTACAGAACATTCCGCAATACAATAAAGGCTGTATATGACAAATGTACAGCCAGCATTTTACTAAATGGTGAAAAATTAAAGCCATTTCCTCTAAATTCAGGAATGAGAAGAGGATGCCCACTCTCTCCACTCCTCCTCATCCTATTATTAGAATGCCTAGATCATGGGCCTCAAGCCAGAAATCTCAGGGATCATGCCCATGTCCTGCAGCCTTGCCTAGCTCCTGAGGATTTGCATGTGTCCATGCACAGCCAAGTGCCTGAACCCTTCTCCATGGTCTGCTTACACCCTGTGTAGCAGTCAGTCCCAGTCAGCACACAGTATGAGTGAGAGCCCCTGTTCAGCTCAGAGGATCCTGCTGCTTTGACCCAAAGATACAGAAGGACAGTACTAGGAATTTATTGAGCCCTAGGTTAACAGTGATGCCTTACTCCTCATGGAAACTCCCAGAACATAATTAATTCTGTGGATATTTGGTGTCTGTTTTCAATATCAGGTGCTAGAGTGACATCCCCATTTCCCAGTGTCCATCCTCTCTGTGTGCATCTGTAGGAGACAGTCTCCATCACTTCTAGATCCAATCAGGGATTAGTCGTGATTCACAGTGGCATCACCAGAAACGAGGTGATGCTCCTAAACTCTTGATTTATTGGGCATCACATTTACAGTCTGGGGTGACATCCAGATTTAATGGCAATGGACAGGAGTATTGACAACCCTCTCAATGTTGTCTGTCTGTCTTCCATCAGCCTCAGGAGCACCAACCAGATAATGCTTCTCGTGTCTTATAAAAAACACAGATCTGTCATTCTGAGCCTCTGAAATATGGCATCCAGGTGGATATAATTTGCAGTTTGTCACACAAGAGGCTTTTGCCCGCCTTGTGCTCCCTTTACACTGCTGCACCCACCTGCTAATTTGCATAGTGCTCCCTAAGGAGGACTTTCCCTTTTGAGATGAAGACTCAGCTTGCCCTTGTCTTGTCCTATCAGGACTCTTGAAAAAGAATTCTTTTAGTAAGCTCCTGGGCTGCTAATGCTCTGGCTCACTGGTAAGGACAGAGGGAGATGAACAATGAAATCATGTAAATCTCAAGAAAATGAAAGGAAATAGATCATCATATTGAGTGTCATAGGTCAGGATGCAAAAGCAAAATAGTGTTCGGTCCTACTCACTTGTGGAACCCAGACTTAAATGATGGTAGTGATGATGGTGGTGATGGTGATGATGGCATTGATGATGATGATAATAATGATAATAATGTAATATAATTTAACATGAATGCCAAAATGGAAAATATCTGAAGGGAGACAGGTGAAGCTGAAAGAAAGGGACAACAAGCACACTAAGTGTAGAAGATGAATTGGTATATAAATAAATATATACATTCATATACTCACATGTGCATTCGAGTTACGAAGTTCCTTTACACAGTATGAAAAATGGTGGGAGTTGGAGAGCAAGAGTATTGCAATAGAAAGGAGGTGGTGAGTTTTTGAAAATAAGCTGCATTCAGGTAGGGATTCTCATCACAAACTAACCTACTGTTGTTAATATATGACAATTACAATTTATCCAACAATGAAATAAATAAAATACCATGATTATGCATATAAAACTACTGGGAATCTGCACAACTATTAACCAAGAACGGTAAAACTCCAAATGAAAACTTGTCAGCTGCTATGTCATAAAAAGGCCACTAGATGGAAAACAAATCTCACAAAGAAAAACTTGAAACCTAACCTTGTCCATAGGAGCTTGAAGCCAGGGAGTTCCATCTCAGTCTTTCATGGCACACATGGCATGTAGGACCATGTTTACAGAGGGTATTGTGTCTCCCTACGTCCACTTTGTAAACCTGACAAGGATGACGCACAAGTTTCTTTTTTTGGGGGGGGTGGGGGCCGGTCGTGGGACCTGAACTCTGGCCCTGGGCCCAACACACAAGTTTCTTGTAGTGAAGTTATTAAGGGCAGGTCAGAAAGGTGAGGGGAGGAGGGTGGACCCTGCAGATATGCAGCCCTGACGGGAACATGTGCACACACCCTGTCCAGCTGTGGGAGGTGAGAGAGGGCTGCAGTGTCAGTGCTGTCCCCAGCTGTTCCCAAGGGTCCTCTGCAGTGATCAGGCCACTGATTGTCCTTAAAGGCACAGATGGTGTCCTGAGCTTCATGATGTCAGGCTAGAAATATAGCTGTTCATTGTTCCTAGCATTCTTTTACAGTGTTCGAATTTAAAATGCTGAGTTAGACAATTAGAATTATATTAATTAATGTTTTAGTTTACTAGGTAATTTACTATGTATAAACAATAGATATATAAACTCTACATTCATTTGTGAAGTGCTCCTCTCTATTTGAGAGGAATAGACTTTTTCTTTCGATCCAGTCATCACTCAGGTCCATGACCCAGACCATTAACACTTTTCTTTCCTGTATGCTCTTTCTTCTTCCAGGAAGATCTCCAGAAATGTTTTCTTATGACCTGCTTGGTCTTCATCTCTTTCCTTGGTTTTCAGCCTCATTTCTCAGCCAGCTGGCTACATTCCTCACACCTCAGGGCAGTGTAAGCCTATCTGCAGCTCTGATATGAGACTAGTATTCCAAGTCTTCCATGTATTTCAGTACCTGAAGGAAGTCTGTGCAGATTTCAAATTCACAAGTCCCATGCCACATGTCCACACATGCTGAAGGCAGCCCTGGAGTATGGATCTGGAGAATGTAATGTGTTATTCCCAGAGCCTGGCTGATTTTAACCACACTCAAATAGATACTCTTGAGTTCTCTCTTCTTCATCCTATTATAATGGCCCCTTGAATTTATTAGATGGCCTTCACAACTATAGCAGCCAGCTGCCTTCTCCTTGTTTTATTTAGTACCAACTTTGTCCTGGAGTGCATGTAAGAGATACCAGATCCCTCCCAGCAAGGGCAGTAGGAGCAATTCATGGGACCATGTCATAAGATTAGAAGTGATATTTCAGAACAGTGAAGGGGGTGGGCATATCTTTTAGGGAAATATATAAATCATCATCAAAATAGGAAAAAAGAGCATTGTAAAAGAATTATGTGAGCATGTAGTGCAGAGAACATTAATTTTTTATAGGATGGAGGTCATCAAATCAAGACTCAGATGGAGTTCTGGTAGTAAATGGTACTGAAGAATACACTGATTGGGTAATGAGTTACTCATGGTCTATTGGCTTTGAAAGAGCAGTGTTATCTTTACACATCATCTTCTTGGACTTACAGTGGTAAGTTCCATGTGATCACCCTGTTCATTTAACTCTGGTATGACAATCTACACAATGGGATGAAGCATGTCCATATGCTAATCTCTATGTGGGGACCTTTTTCATTTCACTTTGGCTTCACTGTCTGTGATTTCCCAGGTGGAAGATGTTCTTCGCAAACTGGGTGGCTCCAGTTTCTCAACCCCACCCTTGACCACATTGTAATTTGTCATTTCTGTACCTATATGAATAACATCTCCTACATACAACTTGTGAAAACTGCTTTGTTGGGGTAATGCATATAATACTAGCCACAGGAGGTTGAGATCTTACGATTAGGGTTGGAATTCATGTTGGACACAAAAGACTATGAGTCTCTGTCACCACTTAAACACCAAAAGGTTGGAAGTGAAGCTGTGACACATTTGGCACACTTTCACCCTTGAGCACAAAAGCTCAGGGACTAAGTCAAGCCCCAGGCCTAGTACACAAAAATCTGCTTGACTTAGGACCTAAAAGACATGTAACTTGAAGGACTATGCAGGCTTAAGGAGCATAATGGAGTTCAAGTAGAGTTGAGTCCTCGGTCTAGAGAATAACTCAGCTTCTGAGAAAGAAAAATTTCCATTAATAGAAGAAACAAATGTCCTCTAAAAGTTCAGAAATATCTGGCACATACATGCATAATAGCCACAAAGCTAGATATGATTCCAGGTATTTTCCTAAAACTAAAGAAGAAATACCTGAGGGTGAACTGTTCTAGGAGAAGGCGTTAGGGAAGAATATTCAGAAGGGAAGCAATCCAGTCAAATATATGAGTTCACAGGACACCAATGAATGCACCAATGGATTGTCCATACACCTCTGATCATGACACTTTATTGCACATATTATATTTTTCAGTGCTACCTTCCAATAAAGACTTTGAAAACTGTCCACTTCTCTCTTTCTATCAATGCATCTATCTGTCTTTCTACCTACACATATATTATCACTTTTATAGCACACATGTCTGGGTATTAATGATCATTATTAAACCATATAACAAGGTTCAAGCAAACAACCTGAATACTCTTAAGAATTCTGTGTCACAAACTTCACTGATACCAGAGTTAGGGGCATTCTAAAATTACTTTCCCTTGGAAATGTTTGCCTTTGAGTGACTGATTTTAGTGAAGGAAATCATACCAAGTCATGGATAAGTTGAAAATGTTAAAAATTCTATTTGGGGTTGAGAATCGAGCTCAGTGGAAGAGTGCTTACCTGGAAAGTGCAGGCCCTCTCAGTTCAGTCCTCAGATCTGGAAAAAAAATCTATTCTTATCACAGGCCAACAGAATCATAATGTTTTCTTGTCTCTAGAAACACATCATCTACAAGCACATTGGACATCTGGGTTCCCAGGACTGTGCTTTGTCACTGAGATCTGCTAGCCTGCGGCTTTGACTCGTACTGCCCAAGCCATGTTGATTTGCATGTGCCCAGAGCTCAGCCCACTACACTGGGAACTTCTTCATAGGCTGCTCACACCCTGTGCAGGAGAAGTTCCAGTCAGCACACAGCACGGACATGAGGGCCCCTGCTCAGCTCCTGGGGCTCCTGCTGCTCTGGATTGCAGGTAAGGAAAGATGATACTGGGGATTATTCATCCAGTGTTCAACTGAGCTACTTTGCTGTTCATGGAAGTACTTGGACAGCAGAATTAATTAAACTGCTAATGGCTTTTATGTTTTCAATGTCAGGTGCCAGATGTGACACTCAGTTGACCCAGCCACCATCCCTGTCATCATCTCAGGGAGACAGAGTCACCATCACTTGCCGAGCCAGTCAGGGCTTTACCAATTATTTACATTGGTACCAGCAGAGAGCAGGAAAAGCTCCAGAGCTCCTGATCAGTTATGCAACTACTTTGCAATCTGGGTTCCCAACAAGGTTCAATGGTAGTGGATCTGGGACAGAGTTCACTCTTGCCATCAGCAGCCTGCAGCTTGAAGATGCCGCAACTTATTTCTGTCAACAGAGTCATTATTATCCTCCCACAGTGATATAAGTCATAACAAAAGCCTCCCAGCAAAGCAGAAGTGAGAGGCTGGGCTGCCCCAGCTGCTCCTCCTGGGGCCTCTACCTGCACAACTGCCTCTACTCTACACAACTTCTCAGATGCAGCCAAACTTTAAGGTCACTGGAATGTATTGGGAGAGGTCATGGAGGCATTTGCACACCCTAACATTCTGTCCTCCTGCTCATCCCAAGCAGCACACACCTTCTGACTATAAAAATCACTGATCTATACTCATGTTTCACTTACATTGTGCTAACAATTTGCAGCCACCCAAAGAAAGAGCCATTTTAGGTATATCAAACCAGGTTTTAAACGCAAGGCAATAAAGCTTTAGAAAAGATTTGGAAAAAATTATATTAAGTGAAGTAAGACTGACCAAAAGAAACATAGGTCCCATGGTTTCCCTTATTTGCAATAACTAGTATATGTCAGCGTCAAGCAGAAAAGGTCAGATAAGTTGATGTTAGGGAAATGAACCCTAAGATATGTATTCAAATGTTTTTTCTTACATGCGATTGTTTCTAACACATAAGATCATTTCTTTGTTGCTTTGTATGTCCCTTCCCCACGGTATAACCCCTGCGTTCACTGTATTTGATGTTGGTATAATTTGTGGAGGGAAAGGAAAAAACCAAATTGTTTAAATAGGGATACAGGTGAACCCATTGCAAAAATGAGATGTACAAGTCATTATGTCGAAAACGAACTTTACAACTTTGGTGGGGGGGAGAGGGGTAGGAGGAGTGGGTGGAGGGGCAGGGGGAGGATGGGAAGGGATTTTAGGGGGAAACAAAGGAGGAGGCTACAATGCTTGATGAGAAATGTACTCATTACCTTGCCCATCTAATTGTAAACCCTCTGTATGGTATTTTCACAATTAAAAATTATAATAATAAAAAACAGGTTTTGTTTTCAGATTATAAAGAATTCTTCATCAAGTTTTGAAATATAATTTCTTGATTAAAATGGAAAATTTCCAGTTCACTGAGAGATACATCCATGAGTTATCATATATATATATATACATATATGTATATATATATATGCCAGTAGCAATACATAAGATAGCAAATTTACACAATTCCTGTTACAGCCATGGTCTGATTCATAAGATACTTCATCCATCTGCCAAGGGCTCTGAGGATATTGAGCAGAGCATATCTTCTGAGACCCCACTCCGCTGGGCCTACAGCCCACAAAGCTCTCCCCTTGCAGGTCTGTATTGGTGGCTCTACTCAAGAAGCAGTTTTCCCTGTATTTGATGTTGGTTTATGTCACAACCACCTCGGCCAGCAAGGAAGACACGACCCGGGATTCTTCTCAAAGCAGTTTATTCAGGAACCTTGTTTGCTAGCTTCTCCACGCCCCGCACCCGCACTCCGGTTACAAGCCTCCTGGATGGCCAATCCCGAGGTGCCACGTGGCATATACCAATAGGGTCGCAAACACGGAAGCAAGCCAGTAGCCAAGCCATAGCCATATAAGGAGTTGTTTTTCACAGAGAGCACTCGCCATCTGGAAGGCGGAAGGCGGAAGGCAGCACCATCTTTGGTAGTGGCCGCGCCATGCGGCCGCGCCATCTTTGGTCAGCTCCTGCAGCTCTCCACAGGTTTAATTTGGGGAGCGGAAGGGAAAAAACATATTGTTTAAATAGGGATACAGGTTGATCCATTGCAACAATGTACAAGACACTATATTGAAAAATGAACTTTACAATTTAGACTGGGAGGAGTGTGGAGGGAAGAGAGAAGGGAGTGTAGTTGTGGAGATGGGAGGGAAAGGATGGTAGGGGAAAACAAAGGAGGAGGCAACAATGATTGATAAGAAATGTATTCATTACCTTGGTTATATTGTAACCCCTCTGTATTAGTATTTTCATAATAAAATCCTTATTTAAAAAAAGGAGTTGTTTGAAGATATTGAAAGGTAAAGAAAAACAGAAATAGGAAAGGAACAAGAAAAAAGCCTTGCTCCTGTCATTGCTTAAGGAGGTAAAGAAAAAAATAAGTTAATAGAGGAATAGAAACATCTTAATACTCCTTAAAATAACATGAAGCTCAGACCTAAGTGAGACATAAGTCAGGCAACGCAGTTCTCAACACTTTCAAACAGTGTGTTGAGCATCCTTTGAATATCAAACTGTGAAATAAGAAAGCAACAAAATCATGCTCTGAGAAAGAAGTTAGAAAGGACAGTTGTGTAAAGCTTAAGGTTGAAAATGGTTCTCCAGTATCAGTTCTTTGGCTTGCTGGGTAGTAGCCTCCAGAACAGCAAGATGTGAGGCTCTGGTTTATGGATGCTATAATGACCCCATACCGACTCTGCTGCACACCAAGATTCCTCCTTGCAGATTCAGACAACAAATTGCTTTTAGGGACAAGCTCCATTATGTCGTTGGGCAACATGTCATCCTGGCATGTCCTATTTATCTGAACAGTAAATTTGTTTATACAACATGAATGCTCCATCAGTGAAATTCTAAATGCAAGCTTCTAACCATCAAGCAACTCATAGCAGCACATTTGAAAACATTTTCGAAAAGTAATTTTATAAAGAAAAAATAGTCATTGAAAAACAATTTTGATTGCCGTGATACAATTGTATTTGAAGTACACTATTGTGCAATGATCTAAACATTTGAACTAACAAGCTAGTTCATCACATTAAACATCCATTTCTTATAGGCATGGGATATTTTCAGCTAATTATGTCTTTAAGAACTTATTTCTGGGGCTGGGAAGGTGGCTCAGGAGTAGAGTGCCAGAGTTGGCCTGAAGAGCTGAGGGACAGTGCCCAAGCCCAGAGTTCAGTCCCCATGACTGACAAAAACAAAACAAAACAAAAATAAAATCTCCCTTATTTCTACTCATGTTAACAAAACATCCAATCTAATTATCAGAAAATTAATTTCTTTCTGATGGTGATTATCAAATTGGTTATTAATTGTCAATGCCATGGTCTCATCCCTTGAAAGTAGAATAGAACAATGACATTATAATAACTTAAGGAAATACAAAGACAAAACTAAGAAAAATGTGTTACCCAATTTTGGAAAGTTTGGACATAGATATATCTTTTTCAGTTACTAGACCTCAAGGTATTATTCAGAGTTCAGAAGGTCAAGGCAGCCTTGGATTCTGGCTAGGTTCAAATAAATACACACATAGAAAAATAAAATATGAGAATTTGGGAATAGATAAAATACATTTAAGACAATATTTAACAGGTTCCGATACACACTGACCCATTACATCAATATTTACTATAGAGTAATGAGAAAGGGATCTTACATATACTATACAATTTTTCAGGGTCATAAATTCACATTTATTAACTGAAAATATTTTATATATGGAAATATGTATAGAAAAAAGGGTTGGATAGAGAGGACTGGGGTAGAAAGATGAAATGGTAATATGGATCAAGATGCACTATATTTATATACTGACATGTTTAATGTACCTTTTATGTAATACTCACAGATAATAAAAATATAATTCAAAACCAGAAATATGCCTGAAGTTCTCAGTTGTCCACATTCTCATCTCTGTCCACATGATTCTTTGCAGGTTGTAGATGGACTGGATTGAGACTCTTAAGGCTTCTAAACTCATAAGCGAATAGAAGAGGTTTCATCTCATTCAGAATAACCACAGTAAAGAAGAGAAGGAATAGAGTGCTGGAAAATGCACTTCCTGAAGAGGCTGTGATCACAGGAGCTCACAGCTGAAGACCCGGTGAGGTCAGGGCCCAATTCTCAGAATATATCCAGGAAGGCATTGCACAAGACCATGTTCACACGTGCTTCTTCTTATCAGCAACTTTTAACCATAGCAAGAATTTCAGTAAGACTCAGTCCACAGAAAAGGAGCTATTTGTATGAAATATGTTAGGGACACTTAAGCAAAACTACTTCTTGACACAAAGGAATCAAACACAACAAATCATGGATGAAATATTATTTTCTTACCTATTCAGAATATGTCCAGAATTCAGAATCATCATCAGTATCCCTGAGAGCATCTTACAAATAACATCTTAGATCTACTGAATGTGAATCTTCACTGATTCTTAGGAATCTGAATATGCTTCCTTAAGGTTTAGGATGTTATTTATGAGAGGAGAGGAGTATCATGGGTAGAGAGATGCTTTTTATTCCTCAATCAGCCCATTAAAGAGCATTTCTATGTAAACCGCATCCAACACACACACACACACACACACACACACACACACACACACACACTCCTTTATCAGTCAACTGACTTAAGCTCTGAATAATGTTTAACTCAGTTTTAGATACAGAAAATTCTAGATGCAGTAGTTTCATCTGTCTCTACTCAGGTGAGGCCTGTCCTGTCTGTTGAACAATTTGTTGTATTAATGTAAAGAGAACAAGTAGTAGCCAAGTGCTGGTGGCTCACGCCTATAATCCTAGCTACATAGGAACCTGAGAGCTGAGGATCAAGGTTCAAAGCCAGCCCAGGCAGGAAAGACCTTAAGAGTCTTATCTCCAATAAACTACCAGAAAACTGGAAGTGACACTGTAGCTCAAGTGGTAGAGCACTCTCCTTGAGCTGAAGAGCTGAGGGACAGTGCCCAGGCCTAGAGTTCAAGCCCTATCTCCAAATAAACAGAAAAACAAAAAAAAATTAAAACAAGCTGCAATTAAAAGAGTTTAAACATATGGTTTATAACAAGCAACTACTGTGAGAACTGACTCCCTCCATGAGAGGAGATATAGCCCTTCTGAGAACAGGACCTCCAATGAATTAATCACTTCCCACAAGGAGGCTCTTCAGATGACCATGTGGGGTCTTCTGGAGCATCAGCACCAACTTCCTTCTCCATATGTTCCTTCTTACGATGTGATATTCTGCCCCATGACAGAGAAGAATCCTTGGAGACAAGAAGTAGGGATTTAAGTCTCTGTGACAAATAAGCAGAGACTGGTTAATATAGATTGGGAAGGTAGACATTATAAGATTTTATGTTAATTAAAGATAACCAGAATTACATACCTATATTTGTCTTTACATAGTTTAAAAAAGAGGCTAAAA